TCTGCCTCCTCTCCAAATCCAGACCTTGACCTCACCCTTCTTTCTCTACATCCAGAGCCCAAAGAGGTGGCGAGTGAAGGCACCATGCTGAAGCAGCTCATTGAGAAAAAGTTTGGGACCATGACTGAGAAGTGAGGAGACAGGAAGGGAGTGAGGCCTGGGGTGTAAGGGTGAGGCCTGGGGGCCTGGCTGGAGGGTTGGGAGGGAAAGGGACATTGCCTGCCCCTCTAGAACGGGATGGAGTGCTGAGGCTTGCGGATGAGCCTGTGGGTGCAATGTGGAGACCCTGAGTGGCTTCTGCACGCCCAGAGGTGTGTGTGCCACCTGGCTAATCCCAGCAGCAGAGATTCCACCCATTCCTTCACCCCAGAACCATCCCCAACCTTTGTCAGGTCTGGGCCCTGTGAGGGCTCCAGGGACCCAAAGAGGACACAGACTCAGCCCCTGCCCATGAGGACCCCACCTCTAAAGACCTGTGTTGGGCCGTGGAGGATGAGTAGACTTCAGCCAAGTGGAGGGATAATGAGGTAGTTGGAGGAACAGCTTAGATCAAGGCCTGGAAGCCAGATGCTCAACCTCCATTTCTGTCCACTTGAGTGACCAGCTGGGCCAGGACATCTGGGAACTCTGTCACCCAGGCTGGAGTGCAGTGGTGTAATCTAGGCTCACTGCAACCTCTGCCTCCTGGGTTCAAGCTATTCTCCCACCTCACCCTCCTGAGTAGCTGGGATTACAGGTGCACGCCACGACGCCCGGCTATTTGTGCGTGGTTTTTTTCAGTAGAGGCAGTGTTTCACCATGTTGGCCAGGCTGGTCTCGAACTCCTGACCTCAAATGATCCGCCTGTCTCGACCTCACAAAGTGATGGGATTACAGGCGTGAGCCACCGCGCCTGGCCTCTCACTTATCTTTCAAACTCGGCTCATTGACGCTGCCTCCAGAAGTCTTTCCAGGCCCCCAGCACCGGGCAAGGTTTCCCTCCTCCGGGCCCCTCAGAACCCAACTTCACATCTCAAGGTGTCAGCAGCTGTCTGGCTCTGAGGGCAAGCTATCTCTCGTTAATCTCCATCTCCTCTGAGGCCAAGCTGTCTCTTGTTCATCTCCAGCTCCTCAGAGCACCTTGCTGTGTTCATTGTTTCCAGTGTTCTTTGATGAATGGGTTGACAAGATGGCCGGGAGGGTGTGAATGGGACAATGGGTAATGTGGTGGGCGCATGAGTGGGTGGATGGACAGGTGGATGACTGACTACACTGCATGGTGAAGGTGTTAATGGGTGGGTGGGGGGTGGCTACAGGGAAGAGCAGGTGGATGGAGGGGGAGGTGAGTTGTGGTGGCTAGAGGGCCAGATGGTGAGTGACTGGATAAAGTGGGTGGATGGATGGACAGATGGTCGAGTGGGCGTATGGGGAGGAATGGGGCAGATCAATGGGTGGGTGGAGGGATGGGTGGTTAGGAAGATAAACAAAGCCAGAAGCCTCTGCGCTACAGGCAGACTTGGGCACTTTCTCATATCTGGAAAAGGAGACCTCCTGGAAATAAAGGTCTGCAGTCATATAAATTTTGCGGGGAGGAGGCAGGCAAGAAGAGCCTCTGGGTGCTTCTGGGGTCCAGTAGGCCCAGCCAGCAGGTCAACCCAGCCCATCTCTGTGACCCCCACCCATCACCCGCAGGCAGCAGCAGCTCCTGTTCCATTACCTGCAGCTGGTGGCAAGCGTGGAGCAGCAGCAGCAGAAGTTCCGCTCCCAGGCAGCCGTCATCGATGAGATTGTGGACACCACATTTGAGGTGAACCAGGCAGGAGCGGGAAGGTGCTGGCGTGGGGCTTGTAGCCAGAAGTGTCCCCAAGTAACAGCCCCATGGGGATCGGGGAGGGCAGAGGCTGGTTCATTCACCCACCCGTGCCCCACTAACCCCTGCAGGCTGGAGAAGAGGACTTCAGGCAGTGACCTCAGGAGGACACCAGATACAGACTTCAACCCCTGGCAGTCTGCCCACCTGGGTGCACTGGGACGGATCCCCAAATCTGCTGGAAGGATTGTCCAGGCCCTGCAGAGCGGGGGCCCCAATAGAGTTTTTAAACCCCAGGAGGCTCCATGTCCTCACTGGCTAGGCCAAGGCGCAGGGAAGGGAACTGGTGCACATTCACGAACGAGTGTGAGCCGGTGCTCCCTATGAAAGGGGCTGCTCTTGATTCCCTCCAGCCCTACCAGGGCCCGCATGCTAACTCAGCCCAGCAGGGCATTAACAGCAGCTGGAGGGGTGAGGCAGAACGTGGGCTGAGCTCATGTGTCGGTGGTGCCGGGAGAGCCGAGGAGGCAGTAACCCTGCTTTGGGGAGGAAGGCCCATCTGGCCGAAGAGTCAGGAGAAAAAGAATAGGCCTGAACACCCCAGGGTTGCCAGGGCCTGGGGGCCCAATGGGCTCCAGGAATGGGGACTCAGAGCCCGGGAACTCAATCCTGCCAGGACCCTCAGCTCCAGGAGAAGAGCACCAACCAGATGGGGATGTCATGAACCCAGAGGTCAGAGGTCATTGTCATATCCTGCCCTTCCTGGGGTCAGACTCTAGAGCCCACTGAGGGGAGGTGGAGTCGGGGCTTCTCAAGTCCTTCTGGCCTCAGGGCAAGGGGCGGGCAGGGATGTGTGGAGGACCTTGCTGCTGGGAGAGGGAAGCAGGGAATGAGGCTGAAGGCTGCGCCCCACAGCCTGCTCTAGGACTTAGATGACCTCCGGACTGATAGCCTGAGCCTAGGCTGGATGTCCAGAGCCCCTGTCCCCATGGCTGGGGGTGACAGTGGGACACTGGCTTATGCTGGGTGCTGGAAACCTAGCACTGAGTAAAGTGCAAGCCTTGCCCTGGCCCCAGGGGTCTCTCCTTGAGTGGAGGGTTTTCCATTATCTACAATAGCCATCTCACCTCTAGTAGAGGTGAATCCAGGGTGCAGTTCAGGCCAGAGGGAGTCAGGAGCGGGAGCTGAAGGGCAATAGTTTTTTGCCAACCCTCCCATCTCTGGGCCAGACCAGTCAGTGCTGTAGCTTCCAGGGCCCCAGGACAGAATAAGCACCTCTCTTTCCTGGTCTGGCTGAAGGCACTGGCTGGCCCAGGACCCAGGAATAGACTGTGTGGAGGAAATGCCATATGGGATTTGGGCACAGATGCCAGGGGCAGAGAGGTCACCGGGCAGGTGTCTCTGGGCCTTGCTTCTCTCTACCACCTCACACCTCACACATTCATTCAGCAGGCATTTCCTGCCCCCCACCCCCTGCCTGCCCAATGCTGGGAGCCCCTGCTTGGTGGCACATGGGAGCCCTTCTAAGCAGCAGGCCCCCCACACACCCTGGGCTGTCTGAGCTGCCACATTTGACAAGCTTGAGCAGAAACAGGGCTGGATGTCGTCTCCCGGGTCCCCAGCTCCTGTCAAATGCCACCCCTCAGCTTCTCACTCCCAGGTGGGACCCAGGATCTACTTCCTGTTTCCTCGTCCCTACCCCAATATGGGCTCCGAAGGCAGATGGCAGGGCCTGGGAGCTGGGGCTGCTGCTCATTAGGCCCTAGCCTTGGGCAGGGGACTAGGCAGGCACAAGCAGGGTGTGAGGCCTTGTCAGAAAGGAAGGGCCGTGGGATGCTCTTCGCAGCCACTGCGGTGCTGCCTGCCTGGGCCTGATGGTACCGACACCTAGCACCCCCAAGGCCCATATCCCAAGTGTGGGTGTGTGCTGGTGCATCTGAGGAACACCTCTGGGTGTGGCACGTGGGTCCTTGGGTTGTGTTTGGGTTTTGTGTGTACATCTCCAGGTTGTTTCTCTAGGGTGTGTTGCTTCTGTGCTCATGAGTTGCTAGGCTGTGTTTCTCTGGGTATGCATGTGATATCTGCCAGCATCTGAGTGTGTGCTGTGGGTGTCTGTGTGTGTATGTCTGGTGTGTTGTGCTTTGGGTGTATGCGTGTGTATATGTATGGGGGAGTATGAATTGCAGCCACAAATTCAGGTGTGCAAATGTTGCAATGCCGCTTTCTTTTTTGAGATGGAGTCTTGCTCTGTCTCCCAGACTGGAGTGCAGTGGCGCAATCTGGGCTCAATGCAACCTCTGCCTCCTGGATTCAAGAGATTCTCCTGCCTCAGCCTCCCGAATAGCTGAGATTACAGGGGTCTGCCACCACACCCAGATAATTTTTGTATTCTTAGTTGAGACGAGGTTTCACCATGTTGGCCAGGCTGGTCTTGAACCCCTGACCTCAGGTGATCCACCCTCCTCAGCCTCCCAAAGTGCTGGGATTACAGGCATGAGCCACTGCACCCAGCCACAATGCTGTTTTCTTTAAATGACATTACATTGAATCTGTCCCCTCACCCCTCCTGTGGGTGGCAGACAAGCTCTGTCCCTCTAGGGCTCCCAGTCTAGCCCCTTTCAGGCATCTTGCCCAGGGCAAGGCATGAGAGGCGTCCTTGTAGTGTGGAGCCCACAGCCTGGACTGAGAAGCACTGTCCTAGCCCTCATGGTCTCTTGGCCTGCAGGGACTCTGCCTTCATTGGGCCACATGCAGGTGGAGGAATCTTACAGGCCGGGAGCTCAGCGTCCTGGGTGAGGACACTGCCTGCTTGAAGCCCCACATGCCACCCATGAGCTCCTCCTGGGGCTGAGCAGGAGCAGAGCACAGACTCCTCCTCGGAGTGCTCCCAGGCAGCCGGCCCTGTTCTTGTCTCCGGGCATCGCCCCCGCTCTGTGAGTCTGCCCCCACCCCTTACCTCTGAGAATATCGGGAGTCTCTGGCTATGTGTGGGGGCTCCAAGGTTTGTTCCTCTCTGCCTGTGATGCTGGGGTGTTTGGAGGGCTTCACATTTGGAGGCTCAGCCCTGCACCTTCAGCACTGTCTGGGCTGGGACAGCAGCAGCTCTGCTGCAGGTGGCAGGGTGACCTCTCAGCTTGGGCGGGGGAGCTGGGAGCTGCCAGAAGTGGGGGTGGGGGATGGGGGCAGAAGTGAAGCACTGAGAAGAAACCAATGCAAGAAGCAGCACTGGCCATTTATTGTGACAGATACGGCCCATGGACCTGAAGTACCCTCCACCGTGGCCCCAAAACAAATGGCCTTTGCCCTCAAGGACTTATCACACCTGCACACAGTTGTGCTTTAGGAGCTGAGAGGAGTTCTGCCAGGGAACCACAAGGACCTCAAAGTCACAGCGCAGCTTCTGTAGAGAGAATATAGGGGAGAAGAGGGGTGAGCCCAGCCTCGACCTGTCTCCTCCCAATAGCCAGCCCTCTGCCTGCCAGGCCAATCCAGGGCAAGAAAAGGGCAATCACTGACCCAATGGATGTCAAGCCACATGACCGGGACTAGACTCCAGATCTTGGTAGCCAACTTCTCCATTCCCCAAGGAAGCCCCAGCTTCCTTTCTGCACCCCATCTTGGCCCAGAGGCTGACTCATCCAGAAGGCCGACAGGTTCAGCCAGACATCTGGACATCTGCATGTCCAGCCAAACCAGTTCAGGCTGGACAACCTGAGTGCCTGAGGCTCTGGGGAGGGCTGGGGCTGGAGGAGCCCAGCTGTTACCTCCTGCTGCGCCCCTGCTGCAAGGGGGCAGGTGGTGAGGTCCACGTGGTCTCCAGCGACCCTGGTCTTGCGGCAGTCTGTGCTCCCCATCTCCATCGTCAGGAAGTACTTGATGCCGGCCACCAGCTGGGGACATAGGGTAGGGGCAGGTCGGGGGTCTTGACCCTTGATCCTCACTTCTCACCTCCCAGCATATTCTCCTGTTGCCCCCAGGCACTCAGGTGGGGAGAGAGGGGCAAGGGATGATTCAGACCTGGGGTCCGGGGTGGTGGAAGTTCTGGTGGGTGTGGAGGGAGGAGAGGCCTGGAGGCTGAGCCCCACCAGCAGCCTGGGCAGACATCAGACATGCCCCACCTGGGGAACTGCCCACTGTCCCCATCTGCCTTCCCTTCTCCCCGATCTACCCCATCAGGGCAGAGACTAGGACCAGGCAAGCCAGGAAGGCAGGTAGTGCATGCAATACAGGATTGAATGATGTCTTTCCTTGAAATTTAGATGGCTGCCCATTGTGGAGTTTTGGCATTAATTCGATTTTTTAAATATTGCATGAAAATATCCCGGTAGCGCTTTCCGGCCCCCTCCATGCAAGCCCGGGCTGCGCCTGTGGCCTCCCCCGCCTGGGCCAGTATCCCCTGCCAGCACCCCGCCCGCCGCACCTGGCTCTGCGCCTTGATGATGTGCGTGTCTCGGAAGTAGTAAAGGCTGTTGCTGCCCATGTTGTAACTGGCCACGGCCGCCTGCGCCGCCTTCTGCACCTGCGGGTCCTCGGGCGAGAGGTCCTGGCGTTCTCCAACCATGCGCTCCTGCGGCCGGGCCCGGGCGTCGCGGGGCAGCGCCAGGAGGCAGAATGCGACCAGGGCCAGGCCCAGCGCCAGCGGGAGGCTCGAACGCGCCATGGCCGTCAGTGCCATCGGAGCCATCAGAGCTGTGAGTGTCGAGCCTGCGACCGCGCAGCTTTTACCTGCTGGGCCGCCCCGCCCGACGCCCGCGGTGCGCCCCCGCGGCCAGGAGCTGGGGCGGGGCTCGAAGTTGCCGGTTTCCGGGGTCCTGCGAGGTTCAGGGAGCCCAGAGGTCGAGGGGGCGGCGCGCACCCGCATGCCAAGACGCTTCCCTGCCCTCCAGGACACACCTGGCCCAGGGAGGGAGAGGACAACGAAGGTCCCCAGCAACAAGTGCCAGTAAAGGGACGGTTCACCGGAGGGCTGTCCAGAGTGAACTACCAACCGCAGCTCTTCGTGGACTCTTACTGTTGCCACCATTTCCTAGCTATGTGACCTCAGAGAAGTCACTTAACCACTCGCTGCCTCAGTTTCCTCTTCTGTACAATGGGTGTTGTGAGGATTCAGTGAGCTGAAACAGGTAAAGTTCTTAGAAGCGGCCTGGTGCTGCATAAACAGCAGGTGAGTAGGACACATTACTGCTCAGCGCTGCCTGACAACCTTCCTGGAGCACCAGTGACTAATGTTTCCACCTGGCCAGGCGCCTAGGCATGCTTGTAATTCCAGCACTTTGAGAGTCCAAGGTGGGAGGACTACTTGAGCCAGGGTGTTCAAGGCTGCAGTGAGTCGCAATCTCACCACTGCACTCCAGCCTGGGCGACAGAGCTAGATGCTGATTCAAAAAAAAAAAGAGGGCTGGGTGTGAGGGCTCACGCTTGTAATCCCAGCACTTTGGGAGGCTGAGGCAGGCAGATCACTGGAGGTCAGGAGTTCAAGACCAGTCTGGCCAACATGGTGAAACCCCCTCTCTACTAAAAGTACAAAAATTAGCCGGGCGTGGAGGCGCACACCTGTAATCCCAGCTACTCAGAAGGCTGAGGCAGGAGAATTGCTTGAACCTGGGAGGCGGAGGTTGCAGTGAGCCAAGAGGGCGCCACTGCGCTCTAGCCTGGGTGACAGAGAGAGGCTGTCTCAAAAAAAAAAAAAAGTCTTCACTTTACAGAGAAGGGAAAATGGATTTGCCCAAAGACACCGGCGGAAAATAAATGGTGACACTGGTTTTGGTGTGCTGGCAGTCTAAGTCAAATCTGTGATCTTAAACCAGACTGAGCCCAAAGGACACAAACTGCCCAGAAGGAGGGGGTGTCAGTCATGTCAGGTCTGCCATCTTACTGACCGCATGGCTTTGGGCAAGCCCCTCAACCTCCCAGACAGAGCCTCTGTGTCCTTGTCTGAAAGACACCTTATCTCCTAAGTTTGTTCTGATATTGATGTTTCGAATCTGGCTCTCCTATAGATACAGTGAGCATGTGCTGGAGGTACCAGCAAACAAGGCCCATGACTGTGTTTTTAAAGACTCCAATAATTGCCAGGCACGGTAGCTCATGCCTGTAATCCCAGCATTTTGGGAGGCCAAGGTGGGCAGATCATTTGAGGACAGGAGTTCGAGACTAGCCTGGCCAACAGGGTGAAACCCCATTGTAGCCCGCAGGGACCTAGGGGGACTGAACAAAGCCAGGCAAACGCGGGAATAAAAGACAAGAGACAAAAGAGTATTATTTGGAAGAAGCGGTCAGGAGACACCTTGCCTCTAGTGGACAAGGGCCCTGAGCTTTACCCAGCCCTCCGTATTTATCAGGCAAAAGAGATAGCGAGAAAGGGTTTGGTTGTCAGGTAATAGTCGGCCATTTGGTTCATAGCAGGATTGCGAGACTGCATCCTTTGAACAATAGGTGCTAATTTTCTCAGTAGATAACTTGAAGGAGCACAGCGCAAGGGAGTGAGGCCCTCAGCAAACCTTTTGGTGGCAGGACAGTGGGAGTTTGCCCACATCCTGCATTCGTGATAAACAGTTTGCTATTTGATCATATAGCCTTGAGTGGAATGCCGAGTTGGTCACGATCCCTTTGGCGTTTTTGGCTCCCAACACCCCATCTCTACTAAAAATACAAAAATTAGTTGGGCGTGGTGGTGCACACCTGTAGTCCCAGCTACTTGGGAGACTGAGGTGGGTGAATCACTTGAACCCGGGAGGCAGAGGTTGCAGTGAGCTGAGACCACGCCACTGCACTCCAGCCTGGGTGACAGAGCAAGACTCTGTCTCAAAAAAAAAAGACTCCAATAATTAATAGATCAGGGTGGTGATCTGTTAATCACGTGGTGATCTATTAATCACACGGTAGCTCACACCTGTAATCCCAGGACTTTGGGAGTCGGAAGCAGGAGGATCACTTGAGGCCAGGAGTTTGAGACCAGCCTGGGCAACATAGTGAGCCCTCATCTCTACCAAAAGATCTAAAATAAATTAGTTGTGCATGATGGTGCACGCCTGTGGTCCCAGCTACTCGGGAGGCTGAGGTGGGAGGATTACTAGAGTCTGGGAGGTTGAGGCTGCAGTGAGCAGTGATAGTGCCACTGCACTCCACCTGGGTGACAGAGCAAGACCCTGTCTCAAAAAAACAAACAAACAAACAAAAACAGATGAAAAGCAGTGTTGAAGTAGTCAACTCAGGAAAAGTCTGGATTTTGTTGAAAAAAAATTTTTGTATGTGTGACAGAGCTCTGTCAGCCAGGCTAGAGTGTAGTGGCACTATCATAGCTCACTATACCTCAACTTCCTGGCTTCAAGCAATCCTCCCATCTCAGCCTCCCAAGTAGCTGGAACCACAGGTGCATGCCCCCATACCTGGTTAATTTTTTTCACACCTGGCTAATTCTTAAATTTTTTTGTAGAGATGGGGGTCTCACTGTAGTGCCCAGGTGGGTCTCGAATGCCTGGCCTCAAGAGATCACGAGATCCTCCCACCTCAGCTTCCCAAAGCACTGGGATTACAGGCAGGCCTTGCTGGAATTATTTGTCTGCATTTTAGAGTTCACTGTAGTTTGTACTTGTAATTCCATGTTGCTGGGGGGCAGAGGCTTATTGTCCCTAGGGCACTAAGATCTTTTTTTTTTTTTTTTTGAGACGGAGTCTTGCTCTGTCACCCAGGCTGGAGTGCAGTGGCCGGATCTCAGCTCACTGCAAGCTCCGCCTCCCAGGTTCACGCCATTCTCCTGCCTCAGCCTCCTGAGTAGCTGGGACTACAGGCGCCCGCCACCTCGCTGGGCTAGTTGTTTTTGTATTTTTTAGTAGAGACGGGGTTTCACCGTGTTAGCCGGGATAGTCTCGATCTCCTGACCTCGTGATCTGCCCGTCTCGGCCTCCCAAAGTGCTGGGATTACAGGCTTGAGCCACCGCGCCCGGCCGGCACTAAGATCTTGCAGTGCTTAGAGCCTCCAGGGGCTTCACTGGGGCTTGGAAGAGGTGCTAGGTCACAGTACATAAAGAGCAGCCGGCAGCCCTCATTGGGATGGATATTGTGTATAGGCATCCAGCGTGTCACCCTCCCTTCCTGATTCTGGGCCTTAGAATTCCAGGACCACAAAAGGAAGTGATTTCCCACACAGAGACCTAGACCAGAGCAGTCACTCACTGCCCAGGGCAGCTGCCAGCCTGCTACCTGCCTCACTTCCTCAGCCCAGCTGTGGAAAACCAACTCTGCCATCTTCCTGGGATTCTAAGGAACCGTCACAAGTTCCTGGCAGCCTCAGGTGTCTGGCTTAAAGGGACAGACTCCAGTTTGTGGAAGTGCTGGCCGAGCTTGAGTTGATCAGGAGGATGACGCCTGGCCAGGACTCTGAGCTGAGAGACTGGGAGGGGTAGAGGAAGAGGCCCAGGATTGTGCCACAGGGGCGAGGTGGGAGAAGCAGCTCCCCTAGGCCTGCTGTCTCATCACTTGGAGCTTAGCCATAGCCCCAGGTACCTCCAACACTCTCTCAAAAACTAGCCAAGGCCTGTCTGCAACTCGACTCACCATGGGCACTCACCCCACCTGCCACTGCTTTGTGCTGATGCCAAAGACTCTTTTGCAGTACAACCTAGCAATTTCTGAGCACTTTTCACCCACTAATTCTCACAAGCACCCTGAGGGAGTACACATTATCCTCACTTTGCAGATGAAAAAGTTAATCAGAGAGGTTGGGACACTTGTATAAGGTCACACAGCTAGAATTGGTATCTTGGTGAGAAAAGGTGGGGAGTGGGGTTAACAATGATAAGAGCTCTTGCTGTGTGCCAGGCCTTGTGCCAGGGATTCAATGTATGTTCTTTCTTTCCCATAGCAGCTGCAGAGGCAATGATTAGCACCTCTTCCTACAAGGAGGAAATGGGAGGTCAAAGGGGAAGGGTAGTGGTGGGTCCTGGCGCATGAGTCCTTGGCTGCTCTACAGGGGTATGAGGTCTACTGTGCATGGTGTAGGGTTGTTTCTTGCAGGTGGGGTGTCCCTGAGTAGACTTTCCTGGGGCCTGACTCCATCCTGTCTGGACCACTCTGGCTTCTAGGAGGTTTGGGCCAAACGTGAGCTTGAGGTGGGTCAAATGTACTGGCCACAGGGCACAGCCTCCAGTTTTGCAGTGGCCCAGACATCCCAACCCAGGTTGTCCACAGCACCCCTCTCTTGCCCCTGGCCTGATGGGTAGAGATGACCAGGGCAGGTTCTTGACATCTCCTTCCCTCTGGGATCAGGCCCTCCAAGGCCTTGGTGCTTCCCCCAGAACCCTCTTCCTTGAACCTTCAGTTGGGCAGAGGATATTGCCCTCCCCCAGGGCTCTGCAGTCCCATATCCTGAAAAGGAGATCCTTTGGCAAGGAAACCTGTAATCCAACAGGGATTAAAGCTCCCCTCTGGGGAGGAGCGCTCCTAAGCGCTGCTGATTCACTGGTTGAATCTTCACAACCCTGCACCAGCTGGCAAGGAGGCTGTAGCTCAAGGGAGTGAAGCAACTTGCTCCAGATTGCATGGGGAGCAAAGGCCCAGAATCAGGCCTGGCTGGCTCTTCAAGGCTGCCATCAGTCAAGGTTGGGAGTGACAGGAAAGAGCCCTGGTCCCTGCAGGGAGGGGCCAGCCTGGAAGGGGATCAGCCGTCACAAGCACCTGCTGGGAGCCTTCCATGCTCAGCAGGCTTCCGCGGGGCAGGGCTTGTGGTGCTCCAGGTAGCCTCCCCTTACTTCCTTTCCGGGGGCAGCAGGAGCCCTTCAGGACCCCGGAGTGCACAGGCTGTGTTCATACCAGGTTCTAGGCGGGCTCTGAGCACTCATGACTAGATCGGCTGAGGGGTGTCAAGCTCTGGCTGGGTGTGAGGGCATGGGGGCACGGGGTCAGTATTTGCTGATTTCCGGGCCCACCCATGTCCCAGGCTAGCGGATGGCCAGGCATGTCCTGTTGGGTACCATGGGCTGACACTTAGACAACCTGACTCTCACCCCTCACCACCAGGTCTGCTTTCTGCACCAGCATTCCAAGCTGTGGTCCCTTTGTCCTGCTGGCTGAGTCAGGCTGGATCTGAGAGGCCACACTGTCACAAGGTACATTCTAGATACCCTTTGTCTACTGCTGTCCCAGGACAGAGCCAAGAACTTGTGTGGGATGCAATATGGAGTCCTAATAAAGGGTTGTGGCCTGCCACCTGGTATACGCACTGCCCGCGCCCCAAGGGAGAGGTGAGAAGGCAGGTTCCAGCCCCTTCTAAGGCAAAGCCTGTGGGTGAGCTGGGAAAGGCAGATGACAAGGAAATAAAGCAGACAGCATGAGCCGCAGGCTTCCAGCAGGCTCCTAGTGCCAGAGTCAGGTGAGGCCAAATCAGGAAGCCAGTGTGGGCAGGAGCCCAGGCAAGGGCTTCGTGGAGGAGGAGGGAGTCTCCATGACCTCACAGAGCACCAGCAACAATCTGGCAGCATCAGGGCTGAGGTGTGGGTGAGGCCAGGGCCCTGCAAAGTCCCCACCTCAGCACACCAGGCCTGCGACAGCATCACAGCACGAGGGTCAAGGCTGAGGGGACTTACCCAGGAAGACATCAGAAACAGTATGAAACTCAAGAGAGAGCCCTTGTGACCTCAGCCAGGCCTCAGACCAGCAGCCTCCCAGGAAGCAGCAGGAAGCACAAGCTAGGCCCTGCTGCAGCCACCCAGTGTCCCTTTCAGGCTGGGCCACTCGCACTTCCCGGTCCCAGCCTTGCCCAGAACTCTCATCCCTACAAATAACAATTTAGTTTCTGACCTATCACACGATCGTTCCAGCCTCAGGTCTTTATTTTTGGTTTTCCTTTTATATTTTTATTGTTCTGAGATGTAGCTAATACACAGAAAAGGGCGCAGAACACACTCTTTTGGTCAATGCCTGTACCACCCCCCCACAGGCCAGAAACACAGGTCAGGGTAGGCCAAGCCTACCCTTAAGCCCTTCCACATCCTCCCCCAAAGATAATCACTGTAGACTTTTTCCTTTACCATTTACCATAATCATTTCCTTTGTTTTCCTATCTGTGTAGGAATTCCTACGAACTTGTTTGGCTTCATTTGCTATTGAGATTTGTGTTGTACACAGCTATCATTTGTTCATTTTCACCTCCGTTCAGTGCCCGGTGGCATGAATGCGTATTTATCTACTCCAGCATTGACAGCCGCTAGTGTTGCTCCCAACACTGCAGCTGCGAACTCACCTCAGTCCTGCTGCAGGTGTTGGGGACTTTCTTCAAGGCACAGTCCTGAGAGTGGAACTGCTTGGTCACAGGGTGTGTCAGTTTTACTAAATAACACCCAACTGTCTTCCCAAATTGTTTAGACCAATTTATACTCCCACCAGCTGGGTATCAGTTCCTGTTGCTTCACTCTCTCATCAATACTTGGTATTGTCCAACTTAAAAGTGTTTGCCAGTCAGATGGGTATTAATGGCATGTGATTTCTTATTACTAGCAATATGGAGCACCTTTCCTGTGCTTATTCACTGGGAGGGAACCTTCTTCTGTGGCCATCTTAGGTCTTCTACCTATTTTTCTGTTGTGCTGTCTGCCTTTTTTTTTTTCTTTTTGAGACAGAGTTTCATTCTTGTCACCCTGGCTGGAGTACTATGGCATGATCTTGGCTGACTGCAACCTCTGCCTCCCAAATTCAATTCTCCTGCCTTAGCCTCCTGAGTAGCTGGGATTACAGGCGTGCACCACCACACCGGGCTAATTTGTGTATTTTTAGTAGAGATGGGGTTTCATCATGTTGGCCAGGCTGGTCTTGAAATCCTGACCTCAGGTGATCCACCCACCTCGGCCTCTGAAAGTGCTGGGATTACAGACGTGAGCCATCACGCCCAGCCAGTCCACCCTTTTCTTGATTGCAGTTGTATTTGTGCTACGGAAATACTCCTTTGTTGTTCACACTGCTGCAAATATCCTTTCCCTACAACCATCTCATTTTCCAAGTGGGAAAACTGAGACTCAGAGAGGATAAGCCACATGACCAAGGAACACAGGGCCCGGTCCATGCGTTTCCAAGCTAGTTCTGAGTTCCAGTCTGGCTACTTCCCAGGAGCAAGTCCACGGGCAAATTCGCCTCTCTGAGCCTCAAGTTTCCTCACCTGTAAAAGAGAAAATAATTATTATTGTGAAAGAAAAAAATGTTTGCAAAGATTTTAGCTTCAAGCCTGGTTCATACTAAGTGTTCAAGACATAACAGGGCTGGCCGCGTATGGTGGCTCACACCTATAGTCATAGCGCTTTGAGAGGCTTAAGGATCGCTTAAGGCCAGCCTGGGCAACACAGAAGGGCCATCTCTATTAAGTTAAAAAGTAAACAAAAAGAATAGGACTGAAATGTACTGAGGTGTACTCCCCTCACATCCTTCCAGCTGTGATGCCTGTGCTCCTTCTCCTACCTAAGAGATCATAGAAGATGGCAAGCGCCCTGCCCACCCTTGCCGAGGTCAGGAGAGCAGATGATATGCTGACTGGCAGGTGAACTCTCACCCACATCTGGCCCACCCTGTCTGGTACCTCTGACTCCCACTGACTTTTCCACCAGGTGCTGCCTAGCCCAGCTGTTGACTTAACTAACATCTGGAGCACAGTCCATCTGGCTCCCAGGAAAAGATCCACCCACACCCTCTCCCACATCACTCGGGGATTGAGACACAAGTCACCTGCCTGAGGCCTACATGGCTAGCATGACTGCCCTCTGGGAGTGGACGGGAAGCTGCCAGTTTCGGTCTCTACTGATAAGGAGTGAGGGAGACATGGTCCGTCCCTGGAGGAGAGGCAACTCCCAGCCCACTTGCTTTTCAGTGCACAAAGCCCAGTCATGAAAGCCACTGACTTTATTGATCTAAAAAACTTTACAAGGACAGTGACTGTTCTGCCCAAAAAGGAGCCAAATGGTATCAAACGGACTGAAAGTGAGGGTGGGGGGGTGAGGGACGGGGCCAGGAATCCATTCAGGAAAGCTGGTAACTGTCACCAGGGAACTGGCAAGGGAAAAAGGGCGGGGGAGGCATGCAAGAGCGAGAATCCAAAAAAGTTGAAATGGTTAGGGGAGAAAACTCCCAAAAGACCCTGGAGTACGTCGGAGGTGAGTACGACAATAGCAATCTTTTCCTTCGTAGAGGGCAGGGGAGGAGTCCCTACTCGGCTGCAAACTCTGGATGAGGGCTGGGGATTGAGAGCTTCCCAGAGAGCATCACAAGAAGGCGTCGCACCACTCTCGAAGGCATCCGAAGCAGTCCCGGGACTGCTTGGCGTTGGCGCCACACGTGTCCTTCAGCCATTCCCGGAAGAGGTCTTCATCTTTCTTTAGCACCAGAAACTGGCCAAGGACAACATAGGCCTGCAGAACAGGGACAAAGGAAGGGGTGTGCTGCTCAGTGTTCAGTGAGGGATAAGAGCAAGGCGGCCATTCCTGTGCCATTCAGAGTACACAAGCCCAAGAAGCAGCGTGGGTTTTGCCCCCATCTCCTCTCCACCAGGTGCCCAGGCTCTGGCAGCCTCTTCAGATTATACCCCACTGTCCACCCCCTAGCAGATGGACTCACTTCCCTCCCACCCCCGCCTGCACCAGGTACAGGCGGCCACCCCACACCTTGTCAAAGCCCCTCTCCTCCAGCTTCTTGCCCAGGACTTCACCAATCCCAGCCAGGCTCCCCACTGGCTTCTCCCCCATGGGCTCTGCCACGAAGTCTCGGTGCTTTTGGGAGGTTGTCATCTTGATCAGGCTTAATCTAGGAATCCCAAAAGAAAGGCAGATTAGGGCTGAAGACCTGGAACTCCTAAGCAATCTCACAGTAAGAGGCAGCCAAGCCAGGGGTTCCGGTGGCTTGCTCTATCCCCCTCATCCTGAAAGGAGAAAACCGAGATCCAGGGAGACTCTTCCCTACTATTCTGAAAAGGAGTTTCTTCCTGCAGGACCTGGATTTTGATCTTGCCCCAGAAGAAAAACAATCTTGCCTAACAGGTGGCGCAAGCGGGGCAGTGGGAAGATTCCCAGAGTCAGTAGCCAGGGCTGCCCGGAAGCTGTCACTCCCTCTGTGACCTTGGCTGAGCCAAGAAGGTACTGACTGCCTGGAACAGCCACTTGGCGTGGAAAGCTAACCAGAGAGGCTCTCTACCTACAGGGCGAAGCGCACACCGAGCGCTGCGCACACCCGCTACGCGTC